GCAGCGCGCTGACCGCAGCGCACCCCGGCGGGCCCAGCGCAGCCCTGCGGCCGCACCTGCAGCAGCAGCCCGGCGCCGAGAGGGAGAGGGGCAGGGCAGCACTGGGAGTTTGTTTTACAAGAAACCGGGAGCTAAATACACAGACTGTCTTGGTACCTGCTAGGCACCGAGCAGGGTTACCCCTGCACAATCACACACCCCCACCCCTCCAGGTCTTCAGGAGCAAGCAGCCGTACGTGTAAGAAGCAGTTTGCACCCACAGATGCACACAAGACAAATGGTAGCCCGGCTTGCTCCTTGAAGTGCTTAACCAAACCACCGCCCAACCTGTGATAGACGGTACACTGTTCATCAAAATCACCGAAAAGACAATAGAAAGGTGAACTGTCATATGAACTATTGCACATTATATAGAACTAACAGCAAGTGCTTAACTGAACTAACATGATAAAATGATATTGTGTAAAAGAGTGAAAGAAAGGGGGAGGGGGGGCAACAAGAGAGAGAAGTGCCTGTACCTTATAAAGCATGAACAAGGACGTCCAAAAATCTCCTTACTCGAGACCAGTAATGAGCCTAGACTGGTAAGAGCACTGCAAGCTTGTAAAATCATCACATTCCAGGCGAAGGGTGAAAAGTACACTGTGAGGAGGACCTACGGCCTTCCTCCCAAAGACCACCTCCCATGATATGAAGACCCCGACCCGTAACTTTCAGCAGCATCTGCGCAAGCATAAAGGACTGATAAGCTAATTACCATACGAAGCGGGAGTAGGCGGGTTTAGGAAATGTATATGTATAGGCGTTTAATGAATATGCAATGATTTGTAGTATAAAATTAAGTCAAAATTCCTTGAGAAGTGCGGGCCGTTGGAGCAGGAGACCCCCCGGCCACCCAGCGCTGTTTTGGTTGTTGCCGCTTGCTAAATAAAGAAATTGGAAACTCTGACTTAACCAATTTTAAGAAGTCTGTTTATAACAAGGCGAGACGCCTGTGAAAGGCAATTGCCACAAGTACACCGGCACATCCAGAAGAGCCCTCCCAGCCGCCGCGGCACCGCCGAGGCCAGGGAGCTGCAGGGTGAGGGGCACTCGGGGGACCTCCTCTTGGGAGTTACTCTCATTGCGGTCAACGGGCGTGGAGCGGGTGACTGTCCCCGTGCTCCTGCAAACCTGACGCTGCCTTGGGACGAGAGAGACTGATCTGCTTCCACCGTAAATCTGGGCAGAAATTCACACGTGCAGTAGTAGTATCGATTCAATCACAAGACTCTTAATCTTGAGGTAGACAATGCTTTCATCTGATTTTTGTCCAAGTCCAGTCACAAAAGTTCAGTTTTTGTGAACTCACATAGAGATTAATCTATTTATCAATTTATCTTGAAGTCCACTGTTACTTTGGTGTCACTTAAGCTAACACTGCCGTTTCATTTTACATAGACAATGATTTTCTGAGATAAGGTATAAAAAAATGTTTAGTGATTTAGCTAAATTTTACTTTGAAAACAGCCTTTAATATTGTTAACATTTAAAAATAAATATTGGAAAAGCAGCTTCAAGAATGCAGGACTAGCAGTATTCAGTCTTTTGAAAACAGAAAATTAATAGTGAAGCCAAATTTGAGTTCCTTCACTATTAATTTTTTCTTCATAAACTACACAGTCAACTTCCAAGATGATGAACACTGTACATGTCCATGATAAAGTTAATCTGAAAGACTCAAAAGAGTTCGTAAATTGAGCAAATTTGGTTACAAATTCAGATTCTGCTTATCATATATTAAGAGATTTCACAGTTCTCCTTTAAACATTTTTGATACAGTCAGGCTCTGATGAGTAAGAATCTTTACACCTGACACACCTTGATCTGATAAAGAAGTTTCATCAACTGTACTTCCAGTAGATGAATGTTACTCAGCTGAAAAAAAAACCCTGAAAATAAACCCAGAGCGAGAAGAACAAGTAACTGATTTAGCTGTATCTGAATCACAAAGGTTTCACTTTTCTTGCTTCTTGTGAGTCAAATGTTGCAGCAAAACTCCTTGAGAGCTTTAATTCTGTAAGGTGGCTGGGCTAGTAATACAGATCCACTGTTTGCAACATCAATGCTCCTTTTTGAAATGAGACAACAAGGAACTGTGGAAAAATTAGGTTACCTACAAAGCCAGCACCAAAGGAGTAACAGATTTGCAGCCTCATACAGGGCATAAGTTATAGGGTGAATCTTTAACCAGGATAGTAATTTTACAGAGAGTCTGGAAACACCAGCTGTTAGTTCTAATTACTATCACACAATACACACACAGTTCACAGCATATCCCTGGTTTCTTTAACTTTGCCAGTACACCTATACTTCATGTGCTCAAACTTTGCAAATAGTAAGTTTATCACATTCTTTAACCACTTCCCCACAGTCTTGACCCTTTCAAATGGCCCCAGCAACCTGCAGAAAAGACTGACACAGAAACTAACAAGAGATGCAAAATCCAAAACAAAGTGCAGAGCAAGAGAATACTGGAATATCTTCCTCATTTGCCTTCAAAGCTCTCTCTTTGCCAGGAACTCAGACTATTTTTAAAAGTATTTAAATAACAGTACATAAACAAGTAGAACCAATAGAAAGAAAAAATGTAAGGCAGGACAAAAGCATCTTGAATAGTGCATAAAGAAGAAAAAGGAACAAGCAAAAATAATGTCCTGTAAAAGAAGGTGAAATCTGAAGATACAAGTCAAGGTAGTGAGTATTATGTTTTTAAACTGTGTACTTTTATTGAAAGTATGAAACCACAGGATTCTGAATCCCGTGGTGCATGAATTGTTAGCCTGTGCAACTGCAGCACCTTACAGCTACCCTCATTCCTCCTCTCATCCCTTATGGTTACAGCTAGCTATCTGTTGTCACTTGCCTTTGTTTATGAGTAGTAATTAAAACAATGAAATGGCCACACCCAGTCTCAGCAGGTGCTCACATACAAAAATAGCCATCAGAAAAGACACAGCAGAGATCACCACAATACCAGCTGGCCAACAAACTTGGGTTTGCATACTACAATGGGAGAGGCAGGGATGTGATAAACCATCCCAAAAATAATTCCAACATGGATCAAGCTACAGGCAGAGCAATTTCAGCCCAAACTCTGTCGTGCTGATGTTCTTGCCTGTTACTGATACTTCAGCATGGAACTTCAGCAGCTCTGAGAAGAAAACAGCACAAACCAAAGTATTTATATATTCCCAACAGGAAAGTTTCTAGAAAAAAAGAGAAAATTTTGAGACACTGATTCCTGGAAAAAAAGACTCTACAACTCAAATAGAGTTAGAAAGCAGGTATGTTTACTCCGGTGCTGGGGTGCAAGGGGATCTCTCCACAAAGCTTGTACACCCACTGCACATTTTACCAAAAACTTATAGTGTGGCTATCCATATTCATTGGGTTACATAACACAAACATACATATGCATGAGTAGGGCTGGGTTAGTTAGAAAGGCTGATGTCAGCAGTTTATGTCATCTTTGCACCTGCGCATTGCCTCCTGGTGGTCATCTTCAGGGGTCTTTAGGAGGAAGGCTCACAGTCTTTCTCACTTTGTTTATTTCCTGGAGCATGTGCAGATTCTCTTGGCCAATTTCTTGAATAACAAGAGTTTTTCAGACGGTTTACTTTTTATATTATCTAAGAGAACCAATAGAACTTCTACCATTCGTATATGGCTATCTGTACTCATTAGCAAAATTCCAACTAGTTAGAGCCACCTGTTACTCAAGGACAAAAGTATAATATTTTTCTGAACATTGTAATCCTTGGTAGATTTTCACAGTGAACTGCTTTGTTTTGATGAACACAGTAGTCCTTGGTAAAATTCCACAGAACAGTCTGGGCAAGCAGGATTCTTATAAATATTTAAATATTACTATAACTTGCTATAAATAAGTAAATAAGTTGCTAAGCAGTTTTCTGTAAGTAAATAAATCTCAAAACAAGTAATCATTTATCTGTATCAACACCCAGCCAGACAACTAAAACCAAAATTGGTCACTGTGATACTCAACCACAGTAAGACATTCTGTGGGCAAGATATTTCAAAACTCAAAAATAAATGCAGATATTACTGTAGATAGTGGTAAACAGATTCAATAGGAAAATGCTATTTTACAGTCTAAGCTTTTGGGTGTTGAAGATTTACAAGACAAACTCACGCAAGTCTTGTTCTTAATGGGGTATCTCTACATGTCTGTACATGTCTACATAGCTGTCTGCATTCCCTTCTTCCGAAGTGGTAGAGAAAACATTTAAGATCACAGGAATGTAATCCTTCTCTATCGTTCATAACGAATGCTTAGAATATCCCTCTAAAAGATAAATTCAAGATAAAGTACATAAACTACCTTAAATAAGAGAGATGCTACACAATGATTCTCATTTGCTGCCAACCTAGATCATTCACGTGCTTTAGAGCATTGGATATAGTAAATGTGGAATGGCTCACACACAGGAAATAATTTATATATTATGTTAAGCACAGCCATAAAGAAATTTCCAGATGCCAATTAAAACAGGTTTTAAATTAAGGTCAATTATATAACACACACACTGAGAAAAATGCAAAACAAAAACATTGCTTACAATCTTCTCCACAAGAACAGAGACAAAATATAATATCACGGAAGTTTATGACAATAATCATGTACTGAAGACCTTTAGATAAAAACAGTAATAAATGTAGTATAAGATAATATTAACAAATATTAAAAAAAATACTGCATTGCAGTAAATAATTAACATGGAAAACATTAAAACAACCTCACCAAGCGCTTCCTGTAAACACAATGAATCACCTTTCCAAAAGGTGTATTTTTACACACATCTCAAAAGGCAGACATTTCTGGCTTTAGAATCATACTGTGAATTTTATTTCCACATCAACTCCAACATACGCCACAAGTTTTAACTTCATGACACTCACATAACTCTGTGACAATTTTTTTTTTTTTTTTACAGAGATGGTAAGACAACTTCTGAAGCTAAGCCAAACTAACTTCATTTGTTAAAGCACTTACAGTGGATTACTTTTTGCTAAGTAATGTATATGTAAAAATAGACATTTTAAAGAAATACACACAATGACAAGGTAACACAGATTGTACACTTTATTGAATCAGAGAAAAACTAATACAGGGACAGGTGTTCACCTTATAAACAGCAGTAGTAGCTTAAGTCATTGTTCCCTCAGTTGCTTTTATGTCTTTCCTAGCAAAAGTTTCCAGCTCCCATCTCTGTGAACAGAATGATTCCTGCTGAAAGCTCTCTGATCTGGTTTAGAAAAAGTCAACTGAGTCAGCTTACACAGTCTGAACTAGTCCAGCTGATTTGGTCCAAAGCAAATAAGGGAGCACTGACATGAATTCAAATGACAGAGCTGTGGGTACAGTGACATCTCGCAAACAAATAGATTAGCAGGAAGAGATGGTGAAATTGTTCCAGCACGTCTGGAAACAAAAAAGCACATTCTGGACTTAGCTGGGGCATCTAAAACATACCGGGTACACATTTTTTTAAAAACCAAGCAAACTCCAAAGTGTTTCCAATACAGCTAAACAACAAAACAGATGCTTCTATAGTAGCCACTTCTTTTAAAGGTTTTGCAATTATAAAAGCAGTTTATATTTCATACAGGGCTTGACATCGTTTGTATAACTTATAAGTAATATGTTGTCATCATAAATT